TCTCAAGGTATCTGACACCTATCTAGATATCCATCTGTCTAGATTTCTTTCTTGCTTGCTTTCTTTCAAACAGGGTCTTACTATGCAGCTCATACTTATAGTGATCTTCCTTTCTCAGCCTCCCCAGCACTGAGATTATAGGCATGTACCACCAGGTTCAGTGGATGGAACCTGGGACCTTGCCCTTGCCAGGCAGTCACTTAGACCCCCGAGCTATCTCCCCGGCCCAGTACCTGATATCTTAAGCTGCCTATTTATTACTTAGTGGAAATGAGGTAGGTGTGTGTGTGTGCGCACGTGTGCACACATGTGTGTGTATTTTGGATTTTCATGCCCAGGACCCTCTGTATTCTGACCAAAACCACAGTGATTTCCCAGCCATCTGCTGTACCAGTTCATCTTAGCTTTCACTGGTTTCTGTTTTCTCTTTTCTCTTCTCTTACTCTTACTCTTACTCTTACTCTTGTTCTCTTTCACTCTCTCGCTTTCTTGCTACCCCCGCCCCCTTCCAGGCCTTTTTTTTTTTGCCAGCAGGACCTTTTGGATTATTTATAAACCTTTACCTTGAATTTCCTTTTTTAGAGATCTTAACTGTTCTCTTACACTGAGTATAGACATTGTATCACAGAAGATAGAGTGATTAAATAGGATGTGTTAGAGAAGCTAGGTAAGCCAAGAAATTTGAAACTCAGGGACATGGTCTTTGTAGAAAGTACTCTTCCCCCATTTTGACTTGGGGGGGAGCTTTCACAATGGGACTCCAGGTCTCTGTGACACTATATGAAGGTCCTGTGTAAACTCCTCTTGCACAAATTCAGTACAAGGCATCAGAGGCCCCAGTTTTTCCAATGGAGCAAAGCATAGGAAAGCCCCTCTGACGTGTTAATCAGAACTCATTTTCAGAAACCACGTAGTATGAAGACTGTTTACAACTTGTCATAATGTTTCACAAGTTATTTTAAGAGCATCATTTTTACATCTCCAGATTGCCTCGGAGGAAAATACTTCTATAGTCTTCTGCCCAAGTCATGATTATTTGTAATCAATGCTTTTGGAAGTGTTTCCATTCCATCATATCACAGAACACAGATTTAGAAAACCACATAATCCATGAAGCTGATGTGTTTAGAGAACTCCTGAGCTTTGGTGCTGTGTGTCTATCCAGTGCTTTGGCTTCAAGACTCCTAATAAAAGGGACACGATTATTAGCAGAACTACTTACAAGCTCATTCACTTGCCATTAGAGAGTGAAATGTCTTCTTCCAGTTCTTCCATTGGAAGTGGAAAGGAGGGTGAATATTTTTCTTTTCTTTTCCAGAGGTGCTGAGGAGTGCCTACTGCCTTGTGCATGCTAGACAAGTGCTTTACCACAGAACTATGTCACAATTTAGAGTCCTTTGGAAGTCACTTGTAGTTTATTTTACATTCTGCATTTTTATTACTTCTGTACAGTACAGCTGTCATCTCAGTACAAGTTTTCATTACAGGAAAGAAACTGAAAAAAAAGTAATTTAAATAGTTTAGCTGATGCCTTACCACTTAGTTTATAAGTTTCCAGAGATGACATATAGTGCCTTTACTAGTCAACATCCCCTGTGTCTGATGACATGCTTTACTTTGCACTATAGGTGCCATATTTCTTAAACTGTTATCCACATCACTGGAGTTCAATTCCTTATTAATACTCTTAAACACAAAATCGTTATTTCTTCAAGAGCAGGCTGTTTGACCATTTTTAGCTATTTTAATTGAAGACATGTCTTGTGATTCCTACCAGTCCATATGAAAGGTAGTAATACAAAAGAATACAAGGAATAACATTAACAAATGTTGACAGGAATCCTGTCATATCTGAATACTCTACAGAGTAATTGGAGGTTCGTGAGTCTCCTTGATGTGTGACAACCTTAAGAGTCTGTCTTTGCTAACAGACATGCATTTCTTAACTTGACCTTGTGGTCCTATTCCCCTTTCAGCCCCCAGTTAAGCTGCCACTGATACAGGATTTATAATGTGTTGCTGGCCTGTCCAAGAGACACTGACAGAGGTGTGATAGAAAAGCTGGTTAGGCTTTCCCTCCACACCAAGACTGGGCTATGGGGGAGGGATGTGGTTAGAGGGCTTTAGCACTTTTTTGGACCATGGTAGATTTGAAGCTCTTGAAGGACTAGGTTCGGAGAAGAGGACATTTTAATGGCATAGACATGGTCTCACTCTGTAGTACAAGCTGGCCTTGAACTCACTGTATGGACCAGGCTGGCCTCAAACTCTCAGGGATCCTCCTGCCTCAGCCTCTTGAGTACTGGATTATAGGAGATAGTAGTACCTAAGCAGCTATCCTCTCTCCCACCCCTGCCATGTGTGAGCTTGCATGTTTTACTGGAAATAGAATCCAAGACCTT